ACAAACATCCACAAAAGTCGTATGAATTCGTGTTGGCATTGATTGACCACCAAATCAAGTCGGATCGGGAGGACCTGATGCTCGACATGAAGGAGAAGTCAGTCAGAACAATGATGAAGTCAGGCGGCAAGGATGCAGCTCGGGCTGCAGAAAAGCAGGAGGGCCAGAATGGCAAAGGCAAGAAGAACAAATCCAAATAACCTGGTGCCGCTCCTGTGCTCCCGAAGGCCAAGGCAAAGGGTCACGCAGGCAAGAACGGCAAGTCCGATGGTGCCAATGACAGAGGCAAGAGTCCGAGTGGAAACAAGGAGTATCCATGCTGGTATCACTTCAAAGCGGAGAAGGGATGTTTGAAAGGAAGTGAATGCCCATTTTCTCACAGCAAGAAGACGGAGCACAAGCTGGAGAACGTGCCCAAAGGAAGGGGAAAGGAAAATCCAAATCCAGGTCATCCTCACCAAAGAAGGAGGATGGAGTGTGCTATGCATTCCAGAAGGGAAAGTGCGAGAATGGCAATGCCTGCAAATACAAGCATGAACTCATCAAGAAGAAGGACTCGGCTCCGGCAACGTCAGGAGACAAACCACAATCCAAGTCGAAGGCTGCCCCCAAGGCCGCAGCACCGGCGATTGTGAAAAGGGCCATCGCCACGCCTGCGATAGTCTTGAAGCAATCGGTCCCTGCGGGAAAGGTCAGCTTCAAGAAAGACGTTGATCATGTGGAACCGGAAGAAGCCGAAACTGTCTACCACGAACGTGACGACGACGTTATGAGTGAATCGTCAAGATGGTCCGGCGAATCCGAGATCTCCGAGAAGATGGTATGGTTCAAGGAAGTACTCGACGTCGACGAGAATGGGGAGATCACCTATCTTGAAGATGAGAGTAGGCAATGGGAACGAAAGGGAGAGTGGTATGGCTATGAGGGCAATGAGGATGGTTCTTATGAGTACGTGCACATGGACGAGAAGAAGTTCAAGGACAGCGATCATCGAGAATTATCCAACGATCATTAGCAAGGATACTGGAAGAGGTGGTGGACGACGTATATAGAAAACACTACTTTCCGGTGACCAAAGAGAACATTATCGTGTTTGAGTATGATCGAGTTGAGGACGAGATCAAGGAAGCGGTCGTAGACTGGAAGAAACAACACGGTCTACCAAAGAATGTGTTCGCAATGTCAACATGTATCAGCAGAAGGGCGAAATGGTTGATGGACACTGGATGCGGACATGACCTCATTGGACGAGCCAAGGCGAAGAGTCTGGGCGTTGATATTACACAAGGAGATGATGAGATCGTGTTCCAGACAGCAAACGGATCCACATCCACATCCGACGTGGCTGAGATAGTCGTGGACGAGTTGGACGAGACCGTCAAACCACATGTGTTGGATGAGACGCCCGTGGTACTTTCGATAGGGAGAAGATGCATGAAGATGGGGTATGCTTTTCACTGGATGCCTGGGTCACGGATGACACACCGTATGTGGTGAGCGATGCAAGCTTCGGAGTAACAGACATCGCCCTATAATCGATGACCTCAAGGGACACTTCTCAGCGGTGTTGGCATTGGTCGCGAACGATGAGCCAGACCAGAACGATGATGATGAAAACGATATACCCGCCGCTGCCGGTGAATCCGCAGAGGTTGCACGTGAACATCATTATGGGTCAGCATGGTGACGCCGAGGCTAACGAGGAAGAAGCTGATGAGGATGATCCAGAAGCTGGAATTGAGGTTGACGTGTACGAAGGATCATCGATCAAGAGGAAAGTGGGAGTCCTCAAGAGGGATGCCGACTCCATTGCTCACCTGCTTACCTACAGATACCGAAATCCTTTCTGTGTGTCGTGCGTCAAGGCAAAGATGAGGCACTTCAGATCCCGAACCGGGGCCTTCAAAAGAGAGGTCAAGACATTCGGGGACCTGGTGACGTTCGACTTCGTGACGGCATCGGGGGATCATGAAGCAGGTATGCGCTCATCATTCGGGACAAAAACACTGGATTCATCATGGCTTATCCAACTGCGAGGAGAGACACTGACTCCGTTAGCTGATCAATGCCTGCGTCGAGCTGAAGTTGAACCACGACTTGTCCTTGCCTGGACGACCGCAGAACAACTCCCTTGCCGAAAGAACAAATCAATTCATCATTGACCAGACATCGGCTTGCCTTGTGCATGCCGGTCTGCCCACGTGTTATTGGGCGCAGGCTATCACCACGCTGTGCCACACGATGAACGTTGAAGAGGTCAATGGGCCAAGCGCTTGGTTGAGACTGCATGGCGAAGAGTTCAAAGGCGAGAAGATACCTTTCGGTGATTTCGGTGCGCTAGTGGACTTCAAGCCGAGCGAAGCACGGGGGGAAAAGAGGGAGAAGTTCGAGCCTAGGGGGGAAACTGGTATATTTGCTGGATATGTGCTGAGTACCGGAATGCATTGGGCGAACAAGTGTAGGGCTTGGGCCCTCACTGCGTTTGCAGGTGCGGAGCTGAACATCAAGAAGGCAAAGGTTCCGCCTCGGTTGAGAATGCCACATCAAACGGAGAGGATGATCCTCAAATCACCTCTGACATTCCCAATACAGCAGAAGTACAAAGTTGCTAACGAGACTTTGGAAGGAATTGAGATGTCTGTCGATGCAATAGGTCTCGATGCACGTGATCGCCTGGTCGATGACGAGGACTACGAACCCGAGTTGTTGCAGAGTGACGAGAAGCGGCTGCTTGACGATGAGGTCGATCAGATCGCTGGTCTACTGCTTGATGAAGGTCCGGAGTTCCCTATCGGAGATCCGGGGGGTCACATCGGCGGAGAGGATGCTAGACCGAGCTCATCGAAAGGGAAAGGCGATGGACATGCCAAGGACGATGAAGAAGTTGTGAAGTCCGATCTTCCACACGTGTCAGCTGGACTACCTGGGGATGGTGTAACACACGTCAACGATGATGGCAAGGAGGTTAAGATCGACAAAGCCGGAAGATCATATCCCGTTGGGAAGGATGGCTTCAGGTTGATGAAGACAACCTCCAGAATATACTCCCGCCGAATGGGCAATGATGAGAAAGTACTACACCTAGGAGGAGAAGGCCGGGTGAAAGGTGAGAAGAAAGAAGAACCCAAAAGCAAAGGATCTGAGATTTCTACGCCAGCCGAAGCGCAGACGCTGCAGATGCCCGGTGCCAAGAGAATTCGGGCTATGCTTCGGAACCGATGGGGTGGAGTCGATTGGCAGTACAATTGCGGATTGCGAAAGAACGTGTCAAAGATCAAGAACCCACAGGGTGGGAAGCACTTGGCTGAGCTCGATTGGGTCAGGATAATGTTGATTTCCCCAAAAGGTACCCCCCTGTGGGAATACATCAGAGAATGATGATTGTTATGAGAAGTAGACAAACTCGAACACATTTAACCTAAAATGCGCCCGCCTCTTTGGGAAAATCACGTAGACTGATTCGAAAACACATGAATCTGGAATTCGCTAAAGGGCACCCGTCCCTTGGTGAAAATATGTAATAATCAGAATAGCTGTAAGAATTAGGACAATGCATCTGGAATTCCCGAAAGCACGCTAATAAATAGAACAAGTAGAAATTTCAATGAGTTAGAAGAAATTGTTTCGGAATTCCCCAACAGTCCCCTGCCCCTTTGGGAGTTTCTAGAAAGATTCGGAAAAAAGGGTGTTTTGCTTGTGTTTGTCTGCTTGGTGTGTGTGTGTTGCTTGTCACTCTGTTTGAGTGACCTTTGTGCTCTCAGCTTCTCTCTCTCTCTCTCTGTCTCTCTCTCTCTCTCTCTCTCTCTCTCTCTCTCTCTCTCTCTCTCTCTGTCTCTCTCTCTCTCTCTCTCTCTCTCTCTCTCTCTCTCTCTCTCTGCTTGTGTTTTCGTGCGTGCGTGCGTGCGTGCGTGCGTGCGTGCGTGCGTGCGTGCGTGCGTGCGTGCGTGCGTGCGTGTGCACGCGTGGGTGTGTGTGTGTGTGCGCATGTGTGTGTGTGTGTATCATGAGTGAGGGAAACATCCCCCCGCGTACCACTTTGAGGGAAACAATCATCCTGCGCGCGCACGCCGCATAGGACCTAATCTTCCCTGCCACCCCCCCCCCCCCCGCAATAGTCTGAAACCGTGCCCCTAGAAAGGGGAGGGGTAACAGGTAAAGAGGTAAGGAGCATTTCTTATGTCCAACACGCCGCCTGTTGTCGGCGGATAGATAGAGAGACAACGGATGAGAGAGATACAGAGATTGTGGAGATGGAGAAAAGAAAAAACCGGATATTGGCAGAGAGAAATGGATGGGTAGATAGAGGGGTACATCGATAGAGAGGTAGATAGTTAGATAGAGAGACAAAAAGGCGTAAACAGACACAGGGAAACTAGAAAGATTAATGGGTTGATAGATAGGTAGACAAAGAAAGGGGGATTGAGAGAAAGAAAGGTAAAGATAGAGAGAGAAGAGAGACAGAAAGATAGATAAATAGATGGCTAGAGATAGACTAGGGGGAGCGAGAGAGAGAGAGAGAGAGATAGATGGACAGATTGCACTTCGCGTACTACACTTGCAAGGTTGCGACTTTGAGTTAGGCTTTTTGCAAGTTGCAGAAAGCAGTGTAGAATTATTAGGGGGGACAAACGATGGCGTCAAAGACACTCTTTTGATTTGAGTTTTACACACGGCCGTTGCATGCAGTAGTCACGCAGTCGCATCCAACAAAGGCTGGCCTTGACTGCCGGTTGAACCAAAACCAAGGAAATCAACCAACTGAATGCACTGAAATGAAACGAAGTGGAATGAATTGGAATGGAATCAATGCATGCGCGAATTGATATTCGGGCAGAGAACTCGGGCCCTTGGAGGAGAAAAAATGAAAAGAAACCAAGTGGCCATAGAAGGGCAAGCCATCGCTGTGGAGCGCAACAAATGGCCAGATCTTAGATTTGGAGACCCGGATGGCAATGTTTTTGCCCCATATGAACAGCCGGCCAAGCCCTGCGGCCTGTCAGGTGCAGGACTTCCAGAATCAAGTGCAGTCTCTGCACGGCGCTTTGCAGATGACGGGTGGCGGCTTGTCGCACGCCCAGGCTCATCGGGACTCGGCTCCCCCCGCCCCCCGCCCCTGCCGGCCCGCCTGAAAAAGCCATCATGCTGCGCCAAGCAATTTAAGATGGTGTAATCAGTTTGTCGTTTCGCGTGCCAGGTGGTGGGGCGGCAAATCAACCACGAGGTGCGGCAGCTGCAGCAGCGCTTCACTCGGCAGGAGCGGTCCTTGGGCGTATACCGCAGGCACAGCACGGAGGTGCATCAAACGGCCAAGGGTTGGAAGCGCGGCACCAGCGAGGCGTTGCTAGCTTTGGATCACATTTGGTGGCGCCTACGCAGCCGACTGGACGCCTACCTGGATGTGGCGGAGTCGGAGGTGCAGCACTTCCAGGCATCCTTCCAGGCCCTGGGCAGCTACCAAGACTGCAAGGCGGGCTTCGAGGACCTGCTGCACAGCTACGGCGCCAGTGTGGCCAAGATGCACAAGAGCCACCGACTGCTGAAGTCCACGTGGCGCGAGGTGGCCAACCTCCTGGGCGAGTTGGCCGCTGTGATCCGTGACGGTGGCGTGTTCCACACCTTTGCCGCCGCGGAAGGCTGCAAGTCCCCACTGGCCAAGCAGACGCTGCAGCAAGCGCGCTTTGCGGTGCAGGGCGCCATTTTCTTGCTGCACCGCTTCCAGGCCCGGCTCTTCAAACAGTCGCCACGATTCGACACGTCAACGCAGGAGAGGTCACTGTAACATGTGGAGTTGCTTGTATTGTTATTAGTCATTTATTTGTCCTTGCAAGGCTGCCAGCTTGCCGCCTCCCGACGTCACAGTTTTGAAGGACTTCTCGGCACAGGTGAAGCGCTCGTACGAGGAAGCCCACAAGAAGTGCCAGAAGTAAATGGCTCGCCGGCTATATCGGTGAATAATTCGACTAAATTTCAATAGATGTGTACATTGAAATGTCCAGAAGCCTGGTCTGCGACGGCAATCTCGCAGTTTACAGCCCCGCGCTATATCGGTGCATAGTTCGACAAAGTTTCAATAAAATTGCAGCTTGGACAAGCGGGTCAGACGCAAAAGCATGCGAGGCGCACACATTTTCAGACTCGTGGATATATGTGCGGCGCTGGCTTTGTTTTGTTCAACTTCGAAGTGAGACACCCAGAGCATTGTTTCCCTTCTGAACCTTAGTCGAGCAAAGCAGTTCTTGAATAATTATGTACTTACCTGGTACGTGTACCGCACACATTCGATCGCAGACACCCCTTGTATTTGTTCTCGCATTGAGCCCAACCCGTTCTGCGGAAAAACCCTTTGGAACATACCTGTGTCCTTGGCAGGACACGCTCTGTGGAAAGCTGCTGTGCTCTTCGGAGAGCTGCGTGAAAAGAGCGCGTCGTGTGTTCATCCACGTTGCAGTGCACCGTTGGACGGGGCGCAGACTATGTCAAACTGAACGCCCCAGCGCCCGTCCGAGAAGTGTTCATACTTTGCGCGTTGAAACAAACACATAACGCCCTCTTTCTCGAGCAGGGGCGCATCTGCATCTCTTGTCCCTCCGAGCTTCACTCACTGACTCATTCCTTGCACTTCTCAGCAAATGAACAGAGGTGGATAGAATGGAGCAGGCCTTGCAGGGGAAAAGCACCTTGCCGACAAAACCAAGCACAAGATTGCATTGCCCGCTAGCGCTGTCCAGCCCTCTTTGTCAATCAGTGCATGCCTTGCCCCGCGGAGCTAATTGCAGCACTCCTCACCTATTTCTTCTATTTCCCAGCAAATGCGCACTCAGCCCAAAGTCTCACAAGAGAAACATAGCTGCGGCTGCCCGGCTCAAGATGAATTGCACGCATGAAGACAAGACAGATGGATGCCGAGCTACGGACAGCACGCTAGCTCGACAAAGTCAGCGCAGGGTTTTGCTCGGGGTTGTGGCCCAAGTGACTTTGCCTCAAGTGCCCACCATATACCAGCCCTTGGGCACGCAAAGTCCCAACGATTGGCTACGGGAATCGGCCTCCCAACAGTGCACAGTGCAGGTGTGATGGGCAGAGTGCCGCAGTTTGTTTTCATTGAAGGCATAGATGCTGCAGGTTGCCCGTGTATTGCGGCATACGTGTTTGCTTTTTCATGCTTGCTGCTGCTCGCAGAAGCGTCCGCACCAAGCCAGTGAAGATTGTGCAAATAAGAACACACACACACTGTGGGCCCCAGCGAGCAGATACCGCTGGGTGTCACTTGCAGCACAGATGTGCACGGCCTTGTGGTATTCGCTGTTGAGCGCTGATCTTCGCCAGGAGAGCAGGAGAGCCAGTGCTTTGGAGGAGCCGCCTGTATTCTTTATTGGCTGCCAGTTGGCTGCAGTTTCGCTCATGTCCTGCTGAAGTTGTGCAGGCTGCTCATTGGGATTTCGGGAGCCACTACAAATTCACGATCCATGGTGGCATGTCGGAAGCTTGTAGAATAGATAGCACCTTCATACTGTTTGGACACTTGGTTGGACTACTCTCATTCGTGGCTCAAAGCCATTGGCTCAAGTTACGGTTCATGATCTCTGCCTGACAGAGGGCATCGACCGATTGCGCCATTACCGCTCATGCCCCTTTGGGGGCATCTCCTTTCAACCGCGGCTCTTTTTTGGTTGTCGTCAGGCAGCCACGCGGAGCCAAAGTGTGATGAGCCAGCCGAAGCCAGCAGCCCAGCATTGCTCCAGTCCAAGCGCTTTGCAGGGTCTGGGCGGATCCAGTTCTCCGATGGGCTGCTTGGCTGATCATAGCGCAGGGGTGCGGCAGGGTGACGTGTGTTTCAATGCTCTGAAGCTGCAAGGTTGACTGGGTCATACGATTCTGCGCCAAGCTTCGCATGGCTGCAGAACCAGTCCAAGACTCTGGCGCCTCAATGCCAGCGCCGAAAGCAGCCTCCCACGCCGCTGGCCGCCACGGAGAAGATCCAACACATCCGGAACGAGATGCTGGTGGCCAGGACTCTGAGTTGCGAGCGGGGCTGCGAGACCTTAGGGCCTCACAAGTTGGGCAACGATGTTTCACCTTCGCTCAACGCTTGCTCACGTCTTTTCATGCCGTTTCCTTTGTTTCTGGCCGTCCATTTGATAGCCAGTGTCCGGCAAGAAGCCGCATCGCGCGATCTTGTGCTTGAGCTTCCCAGTCTCGACGGAGCACTTGGGCGGCGCGAAATTTGTCGGCTTCAGCTTGAGCTTCGCGGAGATTTAAGTAATTCCTTATTTCTTCTTCTTGGTTTGCATTGCGACGCTCTTCTTCTTTCTCCAATTCTTGTTGACGGCGTTTGTCTTGGATTTGTGTTTGAATGCCTGCAATATCGGCTCCGACGTTCCGCAAGCGGACGTTTTGGAGTTTCTTCGCTCGAGCTTCATCTCGGGCTCGGCGACCTAAGATTCGCTTCATTTCTAGTTCATCGGCTTCTACATTTGTCATCATCTTGAATGGCGTCGATTGTCTTCGTTTTCCGATCGAAAATGCAAGAATATGCAGGTCGGTTTTTTCGTGACATCCCGTTGAATGCGCCGCCGCTCGGAGACCCTATAGTTTTTTGAGCAGCAATGTATTCTCAACCATGGCAATTTGATTTCTGGGGCCACCGTCCCGTACAGTGCCGCGAGGAATCTCGCAAGATCGTGCAATGGCATTCCTTTGGTGGCGTACCATGTGGACACCTCGGAGACCACATGCTGCCCCACGGAGTCCTTGGAGTGCGCTGGCTGTGCCAAGTACTCTGGCAAGTGTGAGAAGTGCCGCGGGGGCTTCGTAACTGTGGCCAATCGCTGCGTCTCCTGCCTCAGCACCGTCGGCTGGACCAACGAGCTGAACCAAACCTGCGACGCCCTCACGGTAGCCGACTGTAATGACCGGCCGGTGAACGGGCAGAGCAACAAGCAAGCCTGCTGCCTTTGCGGCGGTGGAGTGAAGAGCCCCACACCCTTTCAGTACCCGGACGCACGCTTCGTCGTGGGTGCGGATGTAGTGCTGAAGCCACTGCCCCGCACTGCCGCGCGGTATTCCGTGAACTCGGACTGCGCCTTGGCAGCGCACAACCTCACCTTGGATGGCGAGACTGGGGCAATTTCCTACGCTGCCAACAAGTTGAAGCCTGCAAAAGCTTTCTCAGTGCAGTGCGAGGTTACTGCGCACCAGGACGTGGGCTTGGAGGAAACCGTCAAGGTCTCGGTCATCGTGGACAGTATGACCTACGGCTCGGGGGCCTTAATCTTCGACACGGTCACCAAGTACTCAGTGGCCACTGAAACCTCTGAGTGGAAGGACTGGGCTGCAGGCTAGAATAGGCTCAGCTGCGACATGTAAAGAGGCGACTCGTCCACTGCAATTAGGCTTGCGTTCAGTAGCGGGCGCCAAGAATATCCAGATCCAAGCACTTGCGCGCGTGATTGCTCTCGCAAGGACTTCAGTAAGATTTGTGCTCCGGATGCCCCGTGGCTCTCCATTTCCGCGGCTGGTGAAGTGTCCTTGTCTGCGACGAGCATCGCTGGTGCCGTCACAGACACAGAAGAGGGTGAGAATGAGTATAAGGGTATGGATGGAGCTGTTTGCGTTGTGTCGGCCTTGCAGAAGTCGAACGACAAGAGTACGGATGAGGAGTTGCTTGTTTGTATATTGCTTCCACGCAGGACGAACTTTGTTGAGTTTGGCTGAAAGCCGTGTTGCCGCGCGGCCAAACTTAGGTTTGTGAAGCGCAGCACCACCTTCGCGGCCATCAGGCCGCGGCCTTGGCCGGCCATCACGTACGAGGCCAGCTACGTGGAGGTGGTGGCGGGTGAGGAGCTTCCCCCGATGAAGCTCCAGGTGCCAAGCGGCTTCGAGGCGGGCGTTGCTTCGAGCATCGAGTCACATCAAGTCGTGTCCAGTCGCACAGAGCCGCATTGCGCCGCATTGCAGTTCGGCAGCCTCAGGAGGGCATGGGCGGCCTCAAGCCGAGCTCTTTCCACATGTCTTGCGTTGTGGATGGCAATTGGAACAGCCCACGCCCTTCGCCCACCTGGTCCTTCGACACTGTGTGGGGTGTCGGCTTATTGGGGGAGCACTCCATCTTGGAGATCCTGGCGGACGGCACTATCTCACTCGCGCCAGCCGCCACAATGGCTAAGCTGTTTGACGGGGAAGATGATGGGATCCTGGCAGGCAGCCAACAGAGGAAGTCTGTTCAGCTGAGCTGCGGTGTGTGGGGTTCCTTCCCCGGCACAGATTTCCAGCCAGTCAAAACACCCCTGGTGATCCGCATCAAGGATAGCATGTGCTGGATCTCAGAGACAATCCAGGGCCAAGTGGTTCATGAGGTCACCATCCTTGACGAAGCCACCTGCCGCAACAACTGCCGTATGTCCAAGCGCTGCTCCCATTACACCTTTGCTCATGACAAATGCAAGCACTGGCGCATTCAGAATGAGGGAGGATCGCCAGTGACTGCTTTCGCAAAAGTCACTGACTGCAGCGATTTGAACACATGCTTGCGGCTGAAACATCCTGAGTGGGTTGTGGCGGGCGACTATTGCCCAGTCGCCTATGACTTCCAACGTGGAGGGCCCGTGTACCGCAAGGACAGCACCGTCAAGCAAGAAGTCATGCTTCCTGGCCCATATTTGTCAGCCTGCTTCAAATGCCCTTGTGTGGCTTGGGGATTCTGACACAGCTGAGCGTCGTGTTTGCTTTAAGACGTAGATGGCATGAGCGACAGACATGTTGAGGGAATGCGTTGGGTTTGAAGTGTTTGCTTCAACGCTGATGGAATGAGTTGAGCAGAGGATGTTTTTAAGGCCGCAACGATACTTGAGCATCAGGCAGATGTTTGGGAGACGGCATACGCCCCAGGGCATCAGGTAAGCTGAAGCCCAGGTTTCTGAGCACCGTGCTTCCGGGCTCAACTTCATCTTGCGCAGTTGGCAAGTGGCTCGTGCAGACTGCCAGTGGGGATGACTTCGTCGACTCAGATATGGGCTACTTCGAGCTCAAGGGTGTCTTTGTTGCAAAGCGGTTGTTCGTGTCTAACGGAGTCTCTGGACATGCTGTATGATGTCATGCATTGTGCTGCTTTTGCCATGAAGGGTGTTTATCGTTGCTGGATAATTGCCGGATAGAGACTAAATGGGTGACCGCGCGCAGATGCACACACACAGAATGTAGCCACACAGACCCAGACGCACGGACACACAGACCCACAGACAGAGACGCTCAGAAACGAAGACTCCCAGACACACTGGTACTCGCCCAAGAGATACAGACACAGATGCAGAATACACACACACACACACACGCACGCACGCACGCACGCACGCACGCACGCACGCACGCACGCACGCACGCACGCACGCACGCACGCACGCACGCACGCACGCACGCACGCACGCACGCACGCACGCACGCACGCACGCACGCACGCACGCACGCACGCACGCACGCACGCACGCACGCACGCACGCACGCACGCACGCACGCACGCACGCACGCACGCACGCACGCACGCACGCACGCACGCACGCACGCACGCACGCACGCACGCACGCACGCACGCACGCACGCACGCACGCACGCACGCACGCACGCACGCACGCACGCACGCACGCACGCACGCACGCACGCACGCACGCACGCACGCACGCACGCACGCGCACGCGCACGCGCACGCGCACGCGCACGCGCACGCGCACGCGCACGCGCACGCGCACGCGCACGCGCACGCACGCACGCACACGCACACGCACACGCACACGCACACGCACACGCACACGCACACGCACACGCACACGCACACGCGCACGCACACGCACACGCACACGCACACGCACACGCACACGCACACGCACACGCACACGCACACGCACACGCACACGCACACGCACACGCACACGCACACGCACACGCACACACGCAATTCGACATGATTGATGCACACAAAACACAAAGAGGTGCTCAGGCACACACACACACAAACACACCAGTGCACCCACCCACACACACATGCACATGGACAGAAAGTCAGAGAAGGGCAACAGAGCAACACAGCAATACAGCAATACAGTAGCACATTCAGAAAGACGCATGGACACACAGACGCACGGCCACACAGAGCCAGGGAGACACAGAGCATCTGACGCAGAATATGCCCAAACAATGCTATTGACGACCAAAAACAAAGAACGCGCGAACATGCGACACCACACGCAGAACACAAAAACGCACACACAACAAACAGAAACACATGCAAGCAGAATTAGCTACAGACACAGCATTGTCACAGCCAGGCAACGAGCGTGCTTGCCTGGATGCTGGCTTGCCGAGCAGCGGCACGGGTATGAGCTTGAACTTGGCCACGATGGCCTGTGGCAAGCCTCTCTTTCCCGAAGCAGAGGAGGACGGTGAGGGATCAAGGGAATCCCTGGGCCCTCAAAGTACGATGTTTGCTAGTTCTCCCAATCCGACCATGTTTCCTTGAAGGAACAACTGAACAATGTTCATTGCGACAACAAGCCAGTGCATTCGATAGATCTGGAACTCGAAGAACGCAGCTGCGTACTTGCTTGCGGATGCACTTGAACGATGTTTGCCGCAAAACCGCAAGAACCATAGCAAGATGGATGGCAAGCATTTGTTTGCTGCGACCCGTGAATTGGCTGCAATGCTCGATCGGAAGGTTTGACAGAAGACAGCCGCGTGAAGAGATGCCGGATGTTTCCAGGGACTATTTGGGTACTTGTTTGTATCAGTTTGGTTGCGTAGTCATCGTTTGTGGCGAGCAAGCGTTAGTAGGCTATTCCACTGTTCTTGTTTGCAGCTGTCAGTGGTGATGCGATGATGCGCAGCAAGATATGCACGCACGGCTGCACCGTTTGTGGCTCGAACAGGAGATGCTGCAGCCGCTTGTTTTCGACGACCCCAGCACCACACAGACTGAGGAGACTGCATTCAGGTCGTCAACGGGTTCCGCTTGCTTTTCGTGTTGTAGTCATAAGCGCTTGTGGCAAAGGAAGGCAGGCTGTTTTGGGATGTGATCTCTTTTGTTTCCTTGGTATTCTTCTGACGTTTAGCATTTGCCTGCTAGCGTCTCAACCAGCTCATTCAGAGTTAGTCTCAACGTGCCAGGAACTTGTCACTGTTTTTTTTGTCTCGGGCTGCGCACCCCCTTGTGAAGTCTGCCATTTTTGTACCCACACAAAGTATGTTTTGCGAGACTGGGAGCATTATCACGTTTGTTCAGTTGTGCTGTGAAGCACACTCCAGCGCATTTTCGCTATGTATGATCGAGAAGGTGCTCACCATTGCACCGACTGCTGATTGCCCAACCTGTTGTTGAACCACACGTTTTCTGGTTCTGTCCCCCCCTTCGTGTTGTCTCAGACAGACTGATCGCACTACCTGCTGATGTGTTCTTTGATATCGGCTGGGCTGTCTCTCCCCCAACCTTTTGCTCATCGATGCAGAAATCAGTGTGTCGACCCACTGTCCCAAACATTCAAAAGCAGGATGCATGGTACGACAATCCATGACGCATGAATATAACGTTGACCCAAGGATCCAACATGTTGTAGTTTACTCCAACTGTTGGCGCGTTGTCGAGCGTGCGAAGGATTTCTGGCTTCACCCTTGTGACTGTCTTCCTTTGGAATGGGGCAGCGGTTGGCCTGCGGATGCGATGGCCTTGGAGAATATCCCGCCCACCAGCGACTCGGCACACACAGTCACAGCATCAGAAAGCTGCTCTGCCAGGTTGGGATAAAACAGGGAGACCCGTTGAGTTCTTTGATTTGAACCTGTGGATTTTACACGGGTTGCACTGCCGGCCTCGTAGCCCAGCTTCCTCTCTCATCATCAATCCGTCAACTATGGTGGTTCATTCCTGCAGTAAGTCGTAGCAGATTGAGGCCCAAAGCTGATCCTAAAGTTGATCCGACCGTTCGGGGGCATGCCGGCCTGTGCAGGCAACGGCAGCTTTATTCCTCCACCCTTCTTGATCGTCTCTGGGCAGTTTGCATGCCCCTCCCGGCAGCTGATGAAGGGCGCGGCCGGCATCCACTTCGAGTCGGAGGCCGAGAGCATGGAGCCCTCAGACTGCCAGGACGGCTTCAAGCGAGAGGTCGCAAGGCCCGTGCCTCGTGCTACCCCGTAGCGCCTCCAGGCCACCCGCTTGGGCGTGCACTTTGTAATCTCCTTGGAAGGGGCACGCCATGGGCGGTGATCAAACCTGCCAGTTTTGCCCAGAGCATTTGCCGGGGGATTCTCGGGAATGGCGTGTCCAGGAGCGATGCAAGGACTACGCTGGATGCCAGTTTTATTGGAGCGGTACATCCCACGGGGCCCAGACGTGCCGCCTCTACACTGGCTGTGACAGCTTAGTGCGGGAGTTCGGCATGGAAGGTGATTTGCTGGCCTTGCCACATAACGCCAGCTGCCAGGCGTGATGTTCCGAGCCTCGCATAGCTCCAAGCACCCTTTGTGCCAACTGGGTTTGCCCCTGGCACACGTGCAATCTTGGAACCTCAACTCGTTCGCCCTGTGAGGTGGCCAACCCCGAGGCATGCTGGAAGACCAGTCTTCGAAGGCAATTTCTGACGCAGACACAGGGCACCTCGCCCTCCTTCACGCGTGCGGCTGCTGTGGTGAATCCCGGCGGTACCAGGCAGGGCTGCTTGCGGCAGGCCTACTTTGCCTAAATGAACAGTGAGTGTTCCAAGATCGAGGCATTTGCGACGAAAACAAGCCTGTCAGGTCCTGGACAGGGAACTCTACCAAGGGCTTGACTCGGGAAACGACCTACATCGAGCCATTTGGAGACTTGTCCACCATCAAGCTGCTGGGATGGTCCCGGATGCAGAACAACATGGGCATCATGCGGGATGTTGCAGGCATCTCCTCCGCCGTGGTGCAGGGCTTGAACCCCAATAAGCAGTACAAGTGGTACATCAGGCAGCTCCCCAACACCAACACTGTGAGCAACAAGCTCACCGTGAACCATGGCAGTCAGATGACTTTGTCTCAGTTTTCCCGGCGCCGGTACTGGAACAAGGAGGGCACTGTGGCATCGACGCCGCGTGGTGAGATTCTTATGGACTTTGAGGCCATCGACTACCCGCTGAACTCTTTCGTAGAGAAAAGCGGCGCATCAAGAAGAAGAGATGGCATCGCCTCGTCAAGCTGCCGAAGGAGGTACAGGATCACGCATTGCTCCTGCATCGCCGACAGTGGGGTCTGCACGGGCTCCAAGGTGTCTGGCTCCACTTGCTATGCGTACGGCACCACGGATGTCCACGGCACCACTGGCAAGTCAGCCTCGGTGCGGTCCCAGTCACAGTGCATGTCCATGACCTTCCTGAAGTCTCACCAGGTGATCACCAGCGGTGGTCCCAGCTTTAGTTTCCTGGAGAGTGGAGTGAACGGAACAGTGGCAGAGGCAGTGGCAGATGAGGCAGATGAGGCAGATGAGGACGACCGGGAGGTGAGTTTGGATGCTGTGGGCACGGCTCGGGACGAGGACGAAGAAGACATCGAAGACGAAGTGGACGTGGCGGACGAAGACCACGAGGGCCTGGATGACGAGCACCTGGGCGAGCTTGACGAGCACAGCGAAGCCGAGAGCTCTGATGCAGACATGGCCGAAGAGGACGAGGAGTCAGATCAGGAGTTGCAAAAACATTACAGATGGCGAGCTTTCTCTTTTGGACTCTCGGCTGCATTTAATTGCAGAGGCTGGCGTTCTATCTTAGGTTAGGCCAGTTCCTCGGTCAAATGCTCAGGAAGAAGGTTCCTCGGAGAGTGCCGGCACAGAGGGATGGCGAAGGAGGCGCCGCCGCCGCCGCAGAAGACGCACCCGTCGCCGCCGCTCCCGCCGCAGACGATCCCGCCGCAGACGCTCCAGGCGCAGACGCACTCTGCCCTCCTCGGTGTCCGCCTCCTGCCCCTCGGGTCAGCGCGTGCTGCTTCTTGAAGAAATCTTAGCAAATAGTGAAAGCTTGCGTAGGTCACTTTATGATGTTTGTGATTGGCTACTGCGGCCGCTTTTGCGGTTGCATGTTGCGGAATGGACATCCGGGTTTGGATTGACCATGCTGACCAATAAGCACAGGCCTGCCCAGAAATCTGTAAGGTCCTGCATGTGCTTTCCCGACACTTTCTCGGAGAAGGCGCACACTTGGACAATCTCGCACCACTGCAAGGAGGTCTGGCTCAGTGGCGAGACGTGCCACGCCAAGGGCGGTTACGCCCAGGCAATTTGTGCTGACATCCCGGAGCCAGCAGCGCGAAGTTGGGGCACAGTCACGAAGAGCGGCAGCTATGCGTCCAATCAAGACTCGGGGCCTACCGCGCAGTGCTCCGGTGGCAAGGTCATGACAGGCTGCTGGTGCAAGAGCACCAGCGGTCGCGGCGATGGCTGTGCCCGAGTTTGGGTCGACAGCGGCAGCAACAAATGCTATGGAAGGACTGGTCCAGGCGCTTTGGTTGCTTCGGCGTTCGGTTCATGAAATCGTTGAATGTGGCTTGAGACATGTTGCCTAGAGGCAGGCGGATGTTCTGGAAGTTTGCTTGACTGTAGTAGCTGCAAGGGGAATCTTGAGAAGGTAATTATTGCATTTGAATGAATTCATTGGCGTGCGCAAGGAATTGTCTGCAAGGGCTTTGGAAATAGATAGCCGATATCCGCTATCCAGAAGTGAAGGATCAGCCAGCGGATACCAACGGTCAGATAAGTCGCATGTCTAGTTGCGAACGGCAGACCTCCTGTCCTGATTTGCTCAGTTGGCTCGATGCGCTTGGCGCATTTTCTGTTGTAGGCTCCCTGTCACGATCACACTCAACGAGCTACAGCATCGCCATCACTGCCCGCTGCGTGGATTTGCGCACAGCAATGATGATAATTAGTGCCTTGGTTCTGAAGCATGTTAATAAGTGAGCTGGGGTGTGCATTCAATGCCTGAACATGTGGCGGAAATGCTGCAAACGTTGCATCAAAGGAGTCAGGGGCAACAATGCTGAAGCAGGCATTAATTCGGCAGTTGGCAGTATGTATGACAGTATGACACTTTGCGTAGATCAACATATTAGTTTACATACATACAGTGCAGTTCGTGCGTGAGAACGCACTGTGTGCAGTGATTTGTTCGAGGGGTCTGGAACAGAGCCACGGCGGACAGGTGTTACAGACCTCGGTGATTTTCCAGACTCTGGGTGATTTCCCATGTGTGCCTGCAGAGCAGACCTTTGCAGAGCATGCTTTCGCTGAAGAGTCAACATGAAGTCAACTAGTAGGGAGGTGCCGCAAGAAAACAAAAACCCTGTCTGTGCTATGCCTCATTACACACCTCATTACGTTCATAGCCATCACAGACCTCGTCACCCAACCCCAGCCCAAGCCAGCGACCCCCTTTTTGCCGTAGCTTGGCTTGCGTTGAACACTTGCAAACTTTCCAGCTTTGCGTACTGCACTTGCGCAGAATAGTTGCGACTATCGAGCTGGAGCTCCACATTGCGCTACTGATCATTGTTAAGAGCTGCTTTCCCGTTACACACCTTTGTAACAAGCGCCCCCGTCACACACCTGCGTAACAAGATTCGCGCAGCGTCGCGCGTTGCGTACCCTAAAAACGATCACAGCCATTTGATGCTGACAGCCGGCCACCGGGAAACCTGCCCTTCTCTCCATTCCCTTCGTGGCATTTGGGTCTGTGTTTTTTTACCGTGTCAGTTCTTTAGTCTTCGTGGGAGGTGGGGCTTGGGCGAGCCATACCCCCGAATCATACCCCGAACCATACCCCCGAACCATACCCCCGAGCCATACCCCGAGTCATGCCCCTTAAAAAACACAAACAAAGAACTTGGAAGAACTGTGGCATTTGCGTGTGATCCATGGATAGCTGGAAGCTATAGGGGGTTTAACTTCAAGTGAAGAAGGGGGTCTTGTCAAGAAACAGTGTTAGAGAGCTTGACATGTGGACCGATGCCAGGGGGTAGGGACTCCGAGGTAATACCTGGTTCACTTGTGGTTCCTGGATCTATTCTTGAGTCTGCGATGCTTGCAAGTACAGTTGACATGTCCACTCACACACTCACTGGTTACTCGTGGGGGCCATTTTGGCTCAAGTGGTGTTCCTTGACACTCGGTTACCCACCTCGGTCTCGGCTTGCTATTTTCAATGGAAAGTGCCAATGGGTGGAGTTATAGAGCAATCCTGCGGATGTCCTGGTACTAGAGTTGTCTGTAGCATCCGTGGTGCTGTGGCGGGGGGCGCAGCTTGACGTAAGACTCTGGGACTTGGCGGGGGGTGCCGCTGCTGAGCTTGAAACTTGGAGCTTGCTTCCTGCAGTCTGTCCGACGCGGTGGAAGCAGCTGTCTGTCCTGGGCCACTGTCGCAGTGAAACACAAGCTGTCTTTGTGCTCCTGGGGCACTCTTGGTGTCTTTCCGGTCGAAAAAAATCTGTCCCCCGATTCATACCCCCGATTCATACCCGATTCATACCCCGATTCATACCCTTCTGCTGCCATTTGCAGCCAGGAGCCTCTTGCGCTCTGGGCAGTGCTAGCGAAGCTATGCCGCCCAAATCCTCAGAAGACACAAAACTCAAAGAGAAGCACTGCTCTTTTCGCAGAAGTTCGCCAGAAGGTGGGTTCGGAAGGCTTACTGCGATGTATCAAGCGCGACACGGTGGCCTCTGCGCAGTTGCCGTTTGAGGATGTCACGCTGTCTTTCCCTTACGCTGGTTCGTGACTGCAGGCAGTGGCTCTGCGCCTTCCACCTAGCGCAGCAGCTTTCGCTAACCCACTCACGCAGAGTGGCAGCTGTCTAGTTCAGGCCACTCATAAGCGCCCCAGGCTGGCTTGTGGCAACTAAGCGGTCCAAATTCTCACGGCTATCCAGTTGCCAGCGCACGGGAGCTTTGTCCAAAGCCACAAAGCAAGAGTTCAGAGGCGCGCGAGCCATACCCCGAACCATACCCCCGAGCCATACCCCGAACCATACCTGCGATTCATACCCCTTATACCAACCTCCCGGCACGGCCACGTCAAAAAAACACACACCCATTTGCCTGCACGTAGACAACAAACAGCGGAAACGCATTTCCTTTCCCAAACTCAGGTGATGCTGGGAGTGTCAGCCGCTGGTCCCTGTACAGCCAAACACCATTATATAGCTGGATGGCTTTTCTCCTGTCTGGAAAAACCGTAGCGATGATGACAATGGTTATACGTCCCCAGCATTGCCTGCGTTACGAGGATGATTCCGCACCCCCAACATCATTTACTCATCACTGACTTGTTGCCAGCCTTCCCGTGCGCCTCCCCTTTTGAAGAAGGAATTTTGTGTCGTGTTATGTGTCATATGTTTGCATGCACATGTATGTGTAACTATGTATGGGCCATGCTGGCAAATGCGTCCTGGGCTATGAGTTGTTGATGGTCCCAGTCGTTTCGCCAAAACCGTGGTAGTTGAGAGTGTTTGGTGGTCCTGGATCCATTCCGAGATATTGGCTGGAGTTGATCGGGATGTCCCTGGTCGCTTCCGCTGTGTGTAGCTTCCGCTCTGTGCAGAAGAGCATCCCCAGGTTCATGCATGTGTCCGAAACCCTGGAACAGTCAGCAACCCTTGATAAAAGGGAGAAATGGGAATCCGAGCTTGAGATGCTTAAAAGTTCACAGCCCAGGAGCTAGAGCTCCGCAATAGCTCTGGGAGGGTTTTGTGGAGATATGACCCCTGGACACCCACCTGCAGGACCAACAGGACACAACAAAGACTACAAGAGTAAAAAATGGCACAGGCATGGACAGAAGGGCAAGAGTACGAACAAACAGAAGACACAGCCCAGCAGTGGCATGACCTGAAATCCAGGGACTTCAATGCCCATATGTTGGATATTCAGGGGTGGGGTGGAAAAGGGAAATCCTTGCCAAAAGGGTTTGGGAAAGGCAAAGCCTTGGGAAAAGGCAAAGGTCAAAAAAAACCTTGCAATTGAAGACGGTGACCCTGAAGATCTAGAGGCAACAGAAGAGCAAGAGTGGCACACCTGCTTGAACAAGGTAAAGAAAGCAAGGGATGCTGGCAACAGTGTTTGGAGCGACTTGGAGCAAGCTACGCTCAAGTGCAACCAAGCCAAAAGGCTTACAAAAGCAGCTAGGGGGAGGCTGACACACTGCGCAAGGAGCTAGCCCAACAGGTGTCCCTCCTCAAAAAGGTTTTGCTAAAAAAGCAACAAGGAATGGCCTTGGCCAAAGTGAAAAGCTTGCTCCAGGACTCAGCCCAAAAAATCAAAGAAGTGAAGGAAGAGGTGAAGGAACTGAACCAGTTGGCCAACAAGGCTGCTTCAAAGGCAAGCAAATCGTAAGCCCTTGAACAACAATCCTTGCCCAAAGGATGGGTTCAAGACATTGCCCAAAACCCTTGCCAAAAGGGATCAAGTGTTTGCCACTTCCTTGATAAAAGCAAACTGTCCTTGACAAAAGGATGAGCTCCCTTTTAGCAAGGGGTTTTGCTGCGCAAGGCCACAAAAGCTTGGCCTTGGACTTGAAAATCGGCGCAAAAAAGGAAAGGCAGCTGGGCTTGCGTGGGTTTGCATGATTGGTCAGGGTCAGTTGGGGGAAAACAAGGGGAAGGGATTGGCTAGGGGTTGGGATGGTTCGGAGGTCAAGCGCTTTCTATAACGTTGGTGATGCACCAATAAGTTCCCACCAGTTTGCACACCCTCTTGAGATATTTAAATTTTCAGGGTTTACCAAATTGTGATTGTTGCATTTGGGTTCAAACCACAAGCTGTGAGTAAAGAAGGGCAATGCCCCTAACACCCTTGACAAAAGGGCCATGGAAAAAGAAACCGAAAGACCTGCCAAAAGGCTGAGAGGTTGGCAATTGGAGAAAGGAAAGAAAAGCACCAGGGTAATCCTTGCCAAAAGGATGAAAATCAACATTCTGCCCTCTGCACCAGGTTACTGGAATTATGGTCCCAGGGCAAACTTTCAGCATGCCAAGTAAAAGAGCTCAGCCATTTGGCTGTGCTAGATGGCTGCAAGTCATTGGAGTTGGCCCAGCTAGCCAAATGTGGAAACTGGGGGCAGAACAAAGGCAGCACACATCGGGATATGGTTACATTACATTGCTCTTCTATGAAGATCTGTGAACCAACCCCCATCCAAGTGCCCTTGTTTGACAGCAAGACCCAAAAGGAATGCAAAGAGGAGGTGCCTCTCATGTTGCCACACCTTCTCTTTGCATGCCTGGGGCAGCATTATGGAGAACAGTTCCAGGAGTTCTTTGCCCTTTCTAATTGTGAAACGTTTTGGAACGGGGTAGAAAAAACAAAGGATGAAAGGTTGACTTGGCCATTAGCCCTTGACAAAAGGGTGGTGAACCCAAAGGCCACAATTCACCCATGGGGATGGAGTTGAATACCAAACAAGAGATTCTTTGATGACATGGTCATGGGGGCCCATGTTATCAAAACATGGCAGCCTGTCCTCCCACTTACTTCTTGTGGCAACCCCCAAATCTTGCACCTTGCCAGGAACTTGGGAGCCTTTACATGAATGGATCAGCTGGTCTTTTGCAGCCTTGTCAAAAGGGGTCCACCCAAGTGAAGACCCATGGGGAAACCCCTTGCCAAAAGGGATGTCAGAGCTAGCTGGGCTTCCCTTGTCAAAAGGGCACGACAGAGGAATAATATGGAGCGCACAGGATGCCGAGTTCTATGCAAACGTGCTGAAACTTCCACATTGGCAGAACAAAAACCCTTGCCATGAGTGTGATGCCAAAAGGCCTGTTTTCCAAAGAAAGAAATGCCCTGATGGCAAATCAGTCAAGATCCTAAAAGAAGCAGAGCAAGATTTTGTGGAAGTCAGTCCTACCCAAGCACTCCTTGTCAAAAGGAGCAACCAGCCATTGGTTTCAATCGAAGGGGTGTCCACTGCCCTGGTGAGAGGAGACAGCCTGCGTATATTGTATTCGACTCGAGGGGGGTTGGGTCTCACCTTGCAGGAAGCCTGCTCCACTATTTGTGCTACTATGATGGCACAAGGAAGCAAAGAGTTGCCCCAACCCAAAGACTCATGCCCAATCAAGAATGACCGACTTGAGGCTCAGTATGTTCACTGACCCCAAAAAACCTCATAAGGCTGCAGAAACCAAACACCTGCCTTGCCTCCTGGAAGTGCTGATTGAAGCCCTCCCTGAGGAAGAGCTTATCCATCAACAAATGATTGAATGCTTGGCCAGCTTCAACGAAACCATCCAACATTTTGATGGAATTGATCTGTTCCCTACCGAAGCAGAGAATGGCCTTGCAAAAGACCTTGCTAAAAGGTTTTTCAGTTCTTACCAAGATTTGAACACATGGGCCTTGTCAAAAGGCTTGAGCTCTTCAATGTCACCCACAAATTCCACAGCATGATGCACTTAATTAAAAATGCCCAATTCCTCAACTTCAGAATCCACCACAACTTTAGGGCAGAGGATTTTGTGGGCCAGGTGAGCATCTTGACCCACTCAGTCAGTTTTGGTGTCAAGCCAGTCAGGCTATGTGCAAAAGTTGCAATTAAGTATCGTATCCTTTTACACTTGCAGCTGACCAGGCCAGGTTTTCGCTACTTGGAGGAAGAGGAAGAAGCAGGCCACCCTTGATAAAAGGGAAAGCCCTTGTTGAAAGGGATTTGAGTTTAGCTCCCTGTTGCACCTATCCCTTGCCAAAAGGCCAGCATGTTCAAAGCAAAAAAGCATAAAATTCAGACCGGCCTTTCTATTGATTTTATTATTGAGTATACCTTGACTAAATGAGTGTTTTTATAATTGATTTCACTATTGAATTTGCTATTGATTCGGCATGCTGAATAATCAATTCTAATATATTGAAAAACGCTCTTCAATAGCAATGAAAAGTTATTGATTACAATCAATAGCCGATGCTCAGGGTCTTTGAGTTCGGAGCTTGACAAAGTCTCTCCCGATTGAGTTCCGTGCCTGGTTCAGGATCCGTGGAATGTCTTCTCTTCTTAGTCTTTGCGGGCTTGTCCTTTTCGGGTTGGTACGCGGGCGTGGAAACGCTGAGCGAGCCTTGGTCTCGTATTGCTCTGCATATTGAGATGTTTGCCCGTGACCCAAGAGTTATTCTGAATGGTTTGTCCTTCTTGCAATGCCGTTCTGCGACCGCCCCCCTGCGATCTTGATGCCATAGTGCCTTTCCTTTGCAAGTGCAAGAGTAACCATGGCATGTCGCCCGCCAGGTGCGTGCAATGCTGCGCCAGATGGCTCTCATCACCAAGGATGACATCGTCTATGCGAGCCATATGGACGTGGATCCTGTCAGGCAAGGCCTGTTCCGGGCAAGTCTGTGTTTAGTCCGTGCTCCAGAACCTTGATCGCATGTAAGACGAATGTCATCTCCTCCTGGATTGATCTTTAGATCCTTTTCAACGGCTGGCGGTGCTGGGCGACGAAGTCTGGACTTTGGCTGTGTGGAGCACCTGGATCTTCCTGATCCTTACAGGATCGGGATTTGAGCTGGCGTGTGTGAATGCTTGTGGTTGCGGAAGGTCCGTTCTTCCCACTGCTGATGTTCTGGTTGATCCTTCCGCAAAGGGCGCCCCGTGGCGTTTAGTTTCGACGTGTCGTGTGTGCCCGCCACAGCGTCTGACGTACAGTTCCATCTCCTTGTCATTGACGAAATTGGCTTCGTCCGTTCGGAGTGCTATGTGTGCTGCTTGCTGTTGACGTTGTCAATCCATCGATGCTTCGCAACAATGTTGTTGTTCTTCACTCGGTCGGTCCATCGCTGTCTCTTCCTCACGCAATCGCCTACTTCACGATCATGCTCTTCGGCGTGAGCTTCAGCGGCTTCTTGGCTCTCGAACAGTGGATCCTTCCTCCTGCTTCCCTTTTCTGATTTGGGTTCAGTCTTGTCTCCCCAGTCAGCTTGTTCGATATTTATGTCGGGGTTCTCCTCGGGATGCGGAATTGTTGGGCGATCGTTATCTGTCTGCTCCATGGGAAAATCGCTGTTCGCTTCTTCTTGAGGACCTGGAGAATCTTGCAGAGGGGACGCGCGTCTCTTCGGAGCGGATTTTGTTGCAGGAGCCAACAAGCTGGACGCGCGTGCCATCATGCTGTTGAAGAGAGGCATGTCTGAAAACTGACGGTTCATGCAAGATCGCAAAAGTCGGTGTGATGTAAACCAATCTGGCTGCGGACGGGGGCACCAATTTCTTGAGATTCATGCAAGGCCAAACGCAAGATAGTCTCCACGGAAGCGGAAAATGAAAAAAGCCACACATCAAACTGACTGGGCGCGACTGAGTCACGCCGAAGTTCCCCAACAAGCAAACATGGATTCTGCTATCCCGACTCCTGCGAATGCAATGATGTCGCCTGCGATTTGGAGATGTCAAACAGAACAACAACACTTATTACTTATTACGCGCAATAACCTTTCTACAGCCCTGCCAATAGTCAATAAGTAAGCCAACTTTAAGCCAAACACATCACGCACCAAGGCCAACGCGTAAGAAAGAGCGCACAGGCCTTGTCCAAAAAGCACACTGACCAACTTCGTGTCCATGGACAGTAGTTGCAGGAGTGTCGCTGCAAACTGAAATCTGATTTGCCAGAAAACTTCAGCAATGAAGATCCCAAGCACTGATCATGTTGCAGTTTTCAGGTTTGGGCGTCGCAGTCCTAAAATGCGAGCCCTGTCAAGGGCACGGCGCGGCCTCCCAAACAAACTCTTGCTTGCAATTGTGAATGCCTCACACGTTCTGGCAAGCCACCGGAACAGCGACGAACCAAAATGCAGATTGTGCTTGGCCAATAAGAGTAAAGGCCACGCATCACCTTGCAAGACCTTCATATCTGAGAAACCTTAAGCGCCGTAGTTCTTCTCCAAAACTGTAAGAAGTGTGCCCGGTTCGAGAGACATGGCAGTCTCTATGGCAACTTAATGTCTTTCTTGAAAACCTGGTTGTGGAGAAGCCCAGCGTTTGTTTCAGTGGAACAAAGGTGGCCCAACCCCAATTTGTCAACGTTGCGTGACACCGGCGCTCTGAGTTGAAGACGCCGCAGTCCGAAAAGACGTGCCTCTTCAAGGGAGCGTGCTTTGCCTGCGTGGGCCATGTGCAAAGAACTAGCGCGTGTTTCAAAACCTGTTCGGTAGACCCGCTTAGTATGTCGTCAATATTATTCCGAGGTAAACTAGTCCAAAGCTATGGCATGTGAGCCACACCGGCCGGATTCATCTTGCCTCTCTGTATGAGGAGTTGCAAGGTGACGATGCCTCCCCAGTCTGCAAATAGCAGGCTTTTCTACAAAAGATGTTTCCGCCGAATAAGTGGCAACACGCCATCGACTTGACGCCTATGGCTCGCAACCCAGCGAAGGACTATAAGAAGGGGGAGTTGAAGAAATACGGGCAAGTCCAAAATTCCTTGACCGCTAGACTAGAATGATGAGCGTGCTGCCTTGATGCACTGTGACCACTCTTGCGTGCGAATAGTGTTCTTGCGGATTGGTTTCAATAAAGCGGCTCCTGGCTAAGCCGAGTAAGTTCTTCACAAAGAGCTTCCTCGCAATTAAACGCAAGCATCTGTTTTGGCATGAGGCATCTTTTGCAAAATGCTGCGCACAAAGGGTATTCAGGGGTCACGTTGTGAAACCGCCGTCTCACCTTACCTCTTGAGCCGCGTGCATGTATGTTTGCTGGAAATATCTTTGCTTGGACCAGCTGGATTTGAATACCCCTGCTTCACGCAGAGCAATTACATGCATATCTACAATTGCGCTGAACTGACTAATTGTGGTTGATTCTGTGTATTTCTATATATGCAGATATTCACACTAGTTGCTTATCTTACCAATCAATATTGTTCAGATGTCGCAATGCTTCACTGCCTGCCGGCACCAAGGTTCATTGAAGATTGAATTGCAGCAGACCGGGTTGCTGCAGACTGATACACCCGTACTAGAAGCTCGTCAAGTGGGCCGCCTTGCGCCTTTGTCCTTCCACTACGCGCACTTGCACCAGCAATGTGATTCGCTTTTGCTTCCTGGCAGCACTTGCTTAGTCAACCTTGTAGTCGATGTTGTCCAGCAGTGTTCCACTCTTCAACAAGTTGGCATGAGATTGTGGTTTATCCGCAAAACCCAGTCACTGCAGTTGACTGCCGAGTGACTGCTGAGCTGCTGGTGTCTCCCAGGCTTATGGGCGGCCTTGGAGTGCAACATTGCGCGCGACCAAGCTACCGGATCCCAGCGTCCCACGCCTGGGAGGGCGGCTCGTCTTGAGCGCAAGTTTTCCATTGGCGTGCTGTGTCGGTGTGAGTGCAGCTTAGGCAAGCGCCCACTTCCTGTGAGTTTCGTTCATGGCAGCCAGTTGACTGCAAGCTGTTGGACGGAGCGGTTCCAGTCTTTCCGCGCTGCCCTGAAAGAGTCTCATGAGACTCTGCACTGCGTGAACGGTGATTGGTACAACACCTTGCAGGGGCCCGAGCTGACAAGCTTCGCATGTGCACCTTGCGTGAATGTTGCGGGGACTGGCTACTCCCAGTATGCCAAGCGCAACGAACAGGACAGCCGCCTGCTTTTCACACTGTAGCATTGGTCATATAGGCACAAGGCCGCTCAAACAACCTGCCTTTTTGTAAAGTTAGGGGATACAGTCATGAGGGCAAGTCATGAGCTGGCATCCGAATGATTGTCAAGAGCATGACAGAAATTGTTTCATCAACTTCACTCTTGCCTTGCATTGTTGCCACAAATGAATGCTCCCCCCTGCCCCCAACAAACTGGAGGACAACCCCAAAACTATGCTCCTTGCGTTGACATTGGTCTAGGTGCACCTGTGCAGCGGGGGGAACCGCATTGTTCGGAACGCGAAGTGGGAATCTTTTCAGAACGCAAAGTCGTATATAATCGATTTTAAACGCGGAAGCCCTGGTGTCGTGGCTTTCTCTGGTTCCATGGTTCTCTGGTTTCTAGTTTTCCGGGATGTTTGCTTTCCTCGTTTTCTGGTTTTTTGGGATTTGTGGTTTTCTGGCTTTCCTGGCATTCCTGGCTTTCTGGCTTTCCTGTTTTTCTGGTTTTTTGGGGTTTCTGGCTTTCGCGGTTTTCTGGGTTTCTGGCTCTCGGGTTTTCTGGTTTTCTGGTTTCGGGTGCTTTTTGCAAAACGACATGATGCTTCTTAAGCACGGCGTTTCTAGAATGTGTTCAAAACTCCATGCAGACCATGTGTTTTCGAGCTTCCATATGATCTACTAGAAGTATGGCAGAAGACAACGCCGGCCAAATGCACATTCTTGTCCGTCAATTTGTTCAATGAAGTTTTCTGGAACAGTACTGCGCAAGCACCTCTGATTGGGATGCTACAAAACACGGTTTTCCCTTGGTTTTGCTGGACGGGCACCAGGTGTCCGTTGCTGAGCAAATGCACTTGAGCAGGTGCGCCAATCATGGCAGATGTGGATTTTCAGGGTGGGTGGCTTTTCGGCTCTGAGCATTTGTGCCTTTTCCTGGGATTATGCGGCTTTTGGCGGCTTTTTCGGCTTTGGTTTCTTTGCATCCTCTGCATTTTCAGTTCCTCTCTTTTTGTTGGGTTCATGCGGCTATTTCCGGTTTGGCTTTTCGCATCCTTTCAATTCCAAGTTCCTCTCCAGCAGGCGGCTTTTTGGCTTTTGCGGCTTTTCATTGGTTTATGCGGCTTCTGGTAGCTTTCATGTTTATGTTCATGTATGTAGGCAGCTAGGTATGTAGGTATAGGTATGTACGTGTGTAGGTATGTAGGTAGGTATGTAGGTATGTACGTAGGTATGTAATCTATGTATGTGTGTGTATGTATGTATGTTTGTCCGTTTGCACTTCTTCGAACATCATGGGGATGGCCGCAGTGCCCACCCCACCCCCCGTTTCTTTTTAGATTTTTCACTGAGATCAAATAACTACACCTAGTCGAATCATCACTTTTTTGAACAACATGGAAATGCACCCCTATTTGAAGCAGCGCTTTTTTCGACTATCATGGGGGCTGCCCCCCCCCCGGCCCCCTCCCTCCCCCCCCTCCCCCAGATTGCATTTCTATTTGAAGCATCACTTTGTTCACCGTCATGGGCAACCCCCCGCGACTTTTTAGATTTATTACAGAGAAGAGCTACGCGCATGTCTGCTCCAGAACCCATTAAAGCCATAGCAAGTACAAACTTTAGCGATGGATCGCGGCCGGAAACAAAAAGAGAGAGAGTAAGCTGCGTTGTGTGGAGAAATGATGGTGACTTTGGGTTCTATTGCCACTTTGTGTTTTGAAATCATTTCTTGCCGCCCGGGGTCCATTTCACATATCATCAGATGTTTAAGAGATCTTCGGGCAGCCAAACACTGAGAAAACAGGCAAATAACGATTTAATGATTTATTCATCGTTTTGCCATCGTTTGGCTCATCATTCCTGCAAAAATATATAGTAGCGCTGTAAAAAAGTCTACATTTTGAAGGACGACAAGAAAACACAACCATCACGAAAACAACATTTTTTGCAGCAAAACGATGAACACATGACGAGAACCCTTGCGAAATTATGAAAACATGATGAACCATGATGATATGCTAGCATTTTACGCAGTTTTCATAATTTTTGCAACTTAGTCCGGAGGGTCATTTGTTTCATCGGCGTTTCTTCATTTGCCCATCATTTTGCCATGAGTTCGCACTTGCAACAATGTATAATAGGGTTGGAAACAAGGCTGCATTCTGAGCAACATACAATAACACGCAACCCACAAATCACGAGAACCCTCGCGAATGATGAAACATGATGAACAAATGATGAAAAAACAATGATAAGCAAAATGATCCCCCCCCCAAATGTGAAAACACGAAAAGATAATGTTTTCACTGAGGTCAGTCTATGGCTGTCAAGTTCTCATAATTATTATCACAAGAAGCAGCAACCAGCCGGCGTTGCATATCCCCATCCCAGGAACTAGCGTGCAAAGGCATTTGAAGGTATGCTGGGTAATTGTTCGGCTTCTTTCTTCGAGAGTGACACACTCTCGGCAAGGGAGGCAACCCGGCGCAAGCAGAGGAGCTTTACTTCTTCAGCCGAATGGCCATGCGTGTCTACACTGAGCTGGGGTCCATTGTAGAGACGGCTGCGGCAGCCCACAAGTTCTGCCTGAAGAAGAAGCCTGGTTCTTCGCATGAGATGATGCTGGAGAACAGCCAGGCGAGTTGCTTCATGTCTACCGTGCATTCATGATAGCAGCCCTCGATTCCTGAAAGCCAATTGAAGCTGCCCTGAGGAGTGCCCCGAGATTTTGGCCATCCAAACCGCTGGATCTTCGGAGATCCAGGAGCGTATGATGATGCTTTTGGACGACGGTGCGCCAGACAACGGGCACCTTCGTCGTGCATGTATGTTCAGTCGGGTGGTCGGCCTGTTCAGGGCGCCAGGTCAGGAGGTGGACATTGATCCAGTTTTCTGTCCCTTGCTGCCTAAAGGACCCATGAACCGAGTGTGTGTGAATCCGAATCACCCGAAGCCGGGTGAGATCAAGCTTGAGACAGTGGAAGACCCTGCCTTGCATTGGCAGCTTTTGCCTTTCGAAAGCGAGATCTCTCAGGGAAAGGCACACGTCATTTTGCTGGTGGCAGGTGTGCTCGTCAGTTTGGCGGGCGCGTTGCCCAAAGGGACCCGAGCAATACCGGGGCGGGCGGGCATATTTTAGCGGTGTTCCCCTGATTTGCTTACTATTATTGCGGTGGCATTCCCCTGACCATGACGAGCGTTTGATTATGTGCAAGAAGTGATGCCAGTCACACCGCGGCATTCGCGCCGCTTGGCTGCCTGCTTCGACCCTGAACTGAATCACCCGAAGCCGGGTGGGATCAATCTTGGCAAGTAAAGCTGGTTGAAGACCTTGCCGCACACAGGCAGGATGTTTTCCGGTTCAAGAATTGCTTGCAGGGAACAATTTGGTTGAGTCACTCGTTTTTCCCGCCTGACTGTTTCTAGCTTCTGACGACCGCAAATGGCTGCTTCAGCCGTGTTGCTGCAGACAAGGCAATGCTTGCAAGCTGTGCCTTCCGATGATGGCACGTCGCCCTCCATGAAGCATGCCACTTGCAATGTGGATGAGGAGCGCCAGGTCATCTCCCCTATGGCCATACCCGGCATCATGTGGAGCATGCGCCTCGGCTGGTGATTGAAACAGCTGGGACCTGTGACACAAGCGTCTACGGTTGCCAAAACGTGGTATAGTCGTATCAGCCCAAGAGTGCTGCGATCGTGCGTCGTTGGGCCACCAATTTGCTCCTTTGTTTGCTCTTGCCTTGGCGCAGGCAACCAAACATGTGCGAAAACAAGCGCTTGATGAGCCTAGGCATGAAAGTGCCGATCGCAATACCGGGGAAGATTTGCACAAGGCCTTCTCATCCTACTGCGGCGCTCACGGTGCGCTGGTCAGCTTGTCTTATGGGCAAATTTTTGGTGGCGACATCAGTGGCATCAAGTCGAAGTGTCATTTCGCGCCGGTGATCAAGTTTCTCGGCTGTCGCCATTCAATCGCGGTCTTTCGTGTCTGTGTCTGTGTCTGTGTCTGTGTCTGTGTCTGTGTCTGTCTCTCTGTGTCTCTCTGTGTCTCTCTGTGTCTCTCTGTGTCTCTCTGTGTCTGTGTCTCTGTGTCTCTCTGTGTCTCTCTGTGTCTCTGTGTCTCTCTGTGTCTCTCTGTGTCTCTCTGTGTCTCTGTGTCTCTGTGTCTCTGTGTCTCTGTGTCTCTGTGTCTCTGTGTCTCTGTGTCTCTGTGTCTCTGTGTCTCTGTGTCTCTCTGTGTCTCTGTGTCTCTGTGTCTCTGTGTCTCTGTGTCTCTGTGTCTCTGTGTCTCTGTGTCTCTGTGTGTCTCTGTGTCTCTGTGTGTCTGTGTGTCTGTGTGTCTGTGTGTCTGTGTGTCTGTGTGTCTGTGTGTCTGTGTGTCTGTGTGTCTGTGTGTCTGTGTGTCTGTGTGTCTGTGTGTCTGTGTGTCTGTGTCTGTGTGTCTGTGTGTCTGTGTGTCTGTGTGTCTGTGTGTCTGTGTGTCTGTGTGTCTGTGTGTCTGTGTGTCTGTGTGTCTGTGTGTCTGTGTGTCTGTGTGTCTGTGTGTCTGCGTTTGCGTCTGCGTCTGCGTCTGCGTCTGCGTCTGCGTCTGCGTCTGTGTCTGTGTCTGTGTCTGTGTGCGATGTGTTTTTGATTGCTTGGCAACATTGGGCTTGCTCGTTGGGCTTGCTCGCTTGTTTGTTGCTTGCTTGCTTGCTTGCTTGCTTGCTTGCTTGCTTGCTTGCTTGCTTGCTTGCTTGCTTGCTTGCTTGCTTGCTTGCTTGCTTGCTTGCTTACGGGTTTGTTCGTTCATATATGCGTTCTTCGTGCGTCTCTTTGCCAGTGGATTCAGCAGGTTGCTCATGCTTGTGGTTTCTTCGTGCGCCAAATATCCTAGGTTCGGGGTCTTCGTTGACAGCACCATCACGTACGACAAGACTAGCAGCGATTGGCCAGATTGGAACACGCTCTTGGCAGACTCGCCCATTCTTTGTGCAGACGGAGAGGCTTTGACAGGCAGAATTTGATGGGCACGTGCAAGACAGTGTTGCTTCCCATTTCGTTGCCCCTCCAATCATCCAAACGATAGTGGTGTTGAGAAAGGCTGGCCAGTAGTGTATGAGTCAATGAGGCTCCGTTGCGTTCCTGCCCCTAGACAAGGTTTTCCGACTTCGGAACTGCTCCAGTTCACTCCGGAACGTATTTGGGAAGAGACCCATAGCGTTCAGCTGTTGGGAAAAATAGCCGAAGAAATGGAGTCAAAGAATATTAATCGCGTTGATCAATGCACGCAATGCAGGCTTCAAGCACCAGCCGGCCAGCAACAAGTTCAGGTATGAATGCAGCCGCATTGGCGGGCTGGGCGCGAAGTACGAGTATTTCAGTGCTCAGGTGGAGGTCAAGGTTTGGGACGCAAAGCGTTCAAACTTTCTCGAGTCTTTGAGACTCGGCTCTTGACATGCAACTCAGGCAAGATGCGTGATACGCGTGTTGCTGGATTTCGAGTTTTGAGGGTCAGTCTACAGATCCAGGTTCATTGTAGCTATGATCAGATCATGTTCAAGTCGTGAGGAAGATGATCACCGTGGACTGTGGCGCCAACGGTCTTCTGAGCGGTTTCCACTTCGAGTTCTCCGAAGGCGGCCGCTGGGCACGCTCCAGGTACACCTGCTCCAAGGCGGGCGGGGCTCCAGTTGTCATGGAGCCGTCCACCAAGATCGAGCAATTGACGCAAGCCTCTCGGCAGAAGACACATGAAAGAGATGGTTTCCGAGCCATGCCTTGAGTTGCGAGTTTCAACTACCTTGCCATGTGCTTGCAGCCACTTGACATTCTTCAGGCGCCCGAGGGTGTGTTCTGCCCTAGTGCATTTGACCAGAGAACCGGTCGCTTCGAGTACGAGAACTCTATTACTGGCGACACCCTGACCTTCCAGAGCAGCGGCGCTTGGTGCGTAGGTTCTGCGTGCTCTGTGCCCCTGGGCGGAGCTGATCCCATCGGCGTTTCCATGCCCGGCTTCGAGGCAGGGCAGCTTTTGTGGATTTCCAACGCACATCTCCCCATGTCCCCCCAGCGGTCGCAGGGCATCGAGGAGCCCGAAATGTGGGGACAGTGAGCCGTTTTGCCATGGCACAGAGCCAGCGTGGAGCGATTGTCTTGGAAGGGCCAGACTTGCAGCTCCTTGCAACAGGTGCTGAACGTCACAGACTTTGCCGGGGAATTCGAAGCCAAGGGAATCCCCAAGACGCTCGGCATTGGCAATTGTGTTGAGCCGCACGCGGGACCAGCGATCGCAGTTTTTGCCGTTGTTTGGCCACTGACTCCGGTTGTTTGCTGTTGAGTGCTGTTCATTGCCCTTGGGTGTCAACGGCTTCCGTACGTCTCTGTTGATGTTCCGCAGCGATGCGGCGTCTCAGGATGGAAGGCGAGGGCGCTGGCAACTTGGCCAAGCAGCTCAAGAAGCTGAAGCCGCCGAAGCGGCCAGCGCAGCCGCCAAAGCCCAAGCTGCAGGACTTCAAGGCCAAGCAGCCCGAGTACTCCGCGGAATGCTTGGACTACCAGGAGACCTGGGATCGCTCAGAAGTTGTTTGAATCTCGGTGACTCAGCTTTGCTCGATTTGCAGCCTCACCACTTCCGGCTGTGAATTTGGAGTCTTGTATTCTTGTGCCCTAGCACGGGTTTTTTCGCGCATCCTTGGGAGACATTTGCACCGAAGTAGGTCGTTGACGGTCTTCACTACACTTACAAATTGTGTTGGCCGTAATGTGTTACTTGTGCATGTGCAGGACTTGTGGAAGAAGGTTGTGGAGACGCACATAAACGAGGCAAAGGAACCCGTGACGGAGGAGGCTAAGCTGGAGGCTGATCCTGGCACGGAAGGCGAAGAGCTCTTGGATTACCACCCTTGCGCAGTTGCCAAGTCTGCAGGCGGCATTTTTGGCAGGATGGCTGGGCAGAGCGGCAAGATGGCTCCAGAGAACATGTTGTACTCGGATTGGAACGACTGCATGCAGGGTGACATCAATAGAGACCTGGTGTCAGCACAGCTTGGATATGCCGAAACAGCATATGACTTGGTGGGGAATGCGATTCAGGAGGGGATCAAGCTGGTGTGCGCAATGCCTCCTGATGTTGAGATCGCCCCACTGGGTGCTGGAGCAGAGGTCGAGCCCGACAGCATTTGCGATCAGGTCACGGATTTTGTCCGAAGCATGATAGACTTGCCCGTTGGCTTCGGCTTCGCAGGCAATGCCTACGCGCTGGAGGAGGAAGGCTTCAATGCCTGCAACCCGCTGCAGGTTGGCTTCTCGCGAGTCTTTTGCGACATCCACTGCGTGCGAGATGCCGTGATCCGGGGCGACCGCACCATCATCCGCAATCTCGAGGAGGCCACGAAGATCTCAAACGACAACATGAAGAAGATGGTGGAGTGGTCTACAGAGGCCAACCGAGTTGAGACCGAGTACCTGGACAAAAAGATCGACCACTCCTTGAAGGTGGGCAAACATTCAGAGAGGTTGTGGCGTTGTGTTGCTTTTACTCTCTTTTTGAAGGCCGCGTTTGACCGGTATTGAAAGGTGAACACAATCTATTTGGAGCACATTGCCCAGAATACTCAGCCGGCTGAGCAGTTGGTGCTGAAGAATGCCGCAACCGCCACTCAGGCAAGGCGCAGCTTAGGATGGTCTTGGAGCCAAAGCCCTAAAATCCCCGACCTTTGCATGTCGGATATCTTGTGTTTCAAGTCCACAACATTCGGCATGCTCACATCCAGTCATGCCAGATAATGTCGTATGGTCCGACTCAATGCCAACCTAATTCCATGTATTCTGCACAGCCAGCCACCCTTCAGGCCATGCTGAAGGAGATGCGCGGCTATGCTGAGGCCGCCTCCTTCAACGCGGCTGGTCGGCATGCTGCGCGCAGTGCGCTGAGCAACTTCCTGAAGACCGCGCAGATGCTGAATACGAATGCCTCACTGAGCCAGGTGGGGTTGTATAATAACCCCCCAATTGGAGTTTAGTCAGGGTGGGACTTTCTGCGGTGAGGTGTAAATCGATAAGGAGATAAAAAGAAACGACAAAGCCTCTGGTCAGAAATTTCTAGACAGATAAGAACTATAGTTCTCGTTTTTTTGGGGGGGCTGTTTCCTTTTACCTCTCTCTCTCGCTCTCTCGCTCTCTTTGTTTTCTCTCTCTATCTCTTCCGTGGTTCTCTCTGTGTCTCTCTCTCTCTCTCTCTCTATCTTCCTCTCTTTCTCTCTTTTTCAGTTTCTCTGTCTCTCTCTCTCCTTTTTTTTTTCTCTCTCTCTCTCTCTGTTTTTTGTTTTTGTCCTTCTTTCTCTTTCCTTCTCATTTATTGTCAACCTTTGTTTTGTTTCTCTCCCTCTCTTTCTCTCCTTCTCTCTTTCTCTTTATCTCTTTCTCCCTCTCTCCCTTTCTCTCGTTCTCTCTATCTTTCTCTCACTTTTTCTATATTCTCTCTTTCTCTCTTTCTCTCTTTCTCTCTTTCTCTCTTTTCTCTCTTTCTCTCTTTCTCTTTTTCTCTCTTTCTCTTTTTCTCTCTTTCTCTCTTTCTCTCTCTCTCTCTCTCTCCCTCTCTTTCTACGTCCATCTCTTCCTCGCTCTCTATCTCTTTCTCTCCCTTGTTGTTGTTCTCTCTCTCTCTCTCTCTCTCCGTCTCTCTATGTCCCTCTCTCGCGCTCTCTCTCTCTCTCTCTCTCTTTCTCGCTCTCTTTCGGTTTTCTGGTTTCTTTTCTCTCTCTTTTCTCTCTTTTCTCTCTTTCTCTTTCTCTCTCTCTCTCCCTTCCTCTCCCTATTTCTGTCTTTTTATTTTCTGTGTTGTTGTTTCTATTATGTGTTCTGTTCTTCTCTCTCTCTCTCTCTTTCTTTCTCTCTCTCTCTCTGTTTCTCTCTCTCTCTCTCTCCTTATTTTTACTTTTTCTCTTTTTCTCTGTTTCTCTCTTTCCCTTGTTCTTTATTTCGCTCTTTCTTTTTCTCTTTTTCTATATTCTCTCTTTCTCTCTTTCTCTCTTTCTTTCTCTCTTTCTCTCTTTCTCTCTTTCTCTCTTTCTCTCTTTCTTTCTCGCTTTCTCTCTCTCTCTCTCTCGTACTATCTCTCCATTCATTCCCTTAATCCGTCCATCCATCCTAATCCATCCATTCATCCATCCATTTGTTCTGTTTATACCCATCTACTGTATCTGTCTAACTATCGATCATCTATCTAGCTAGACGAAATCTGGTCCCGACCTTGTCACCGAACCATAGCCCGACTCACACCCTTGAATCATACCTGCGAATCATACCCCCATCCCAATTTCGCGGTCCAAGCACCTCATATTTTGACACAGACCCATGTCTTTCTCGCTTTGTATCTATACATATATATATATAGCGACTTGACTATCGATTTATTTCACTCCCTACCTTGTCGTGCACCGCTCCTGAGAGAAGCAGAGACGGAGAGGAAAGAAGCTGTCTGGAGACACTTCCCGGAGACAAGAGTGGCCAGGCAATCATCACTTTCTCCTTCATATCTTTGGCCATCCGTAAGTCACCGGAAAGGAAAAAGGAGGTAGTGGGCGGATGAGAAAGATCTAAGACGCTCAGCGCTCTCTTTTTCTCGCACACCCGCTCTCTCATATCCACCCTCTCCCTCATCCCTGTCCACCAGCTTGCGCCGCTTGATCGCATCCTGGATACAGAGGTGAACGGGAGGGTGGCATGGATCGTGCGCAGGAAGGGAGGCTTACCAATTTCCAGAAGTCCAGAACTAACAGATGGGAGATTCCTCCGTTCATACGCAGAGAGTCGCGGCCTTTCAGCACAAGCGTAGTGCTCGAAGTACACTTTCGCAGCTCCAGCTCGAAAATCGCAACTCTGCACACGAAGTACCCTTCCACAACTCCAGCTAAAAAACGCAAGTTTGTATAAGCGAAGCGCGCTCAGTACAACTTTGTAAGTTGAGTTATAAGTCTCTATAGAACATAGCCTAGCTAGCTACTACACATGGCAGTGGTGCGCGAAATGCACTTCCGCAGCTCCAGCTCGAAAATCGCAACTTTTCGGCAAAGGTGAGATCCTTCCCCCCTTTCCCCCATAAGGCCTTTCCCCCCTGAGATCTTCTCGCTTTTCCTCCTGTTGAGATCCTTTCCCCCCTTTCGCCTGTAAGGCCTTCCCCCCCCCCAAGGTCTTCTCCCTTTTCCTCCCTAAGATCTTTTCCTGTTGAGATCCTTTCCCCCCTTTCCGGCCTTTCCCGCCCCTGAAACCTTCTCGCTTTTCCTCCCTAAGATCTTTTGCCACCTTTCCCTGTTGAGATCCTTCCCCCCTTTCCCCCTAAGGCCTTTCCCCCCCTGAGATCTTCTCTCTTGTCCTCGCTAAGATCTTTTCCCCCTTTCCCGGTTGAGATCCTTTCCCCCCTTTCCCCCCTAAGGCCTTTGTCCCCTAAGATCTCTCCGACAATCTGCCCCCTAAGGTCTTTCCCTTTCCCCTCCCCCCCCTCCGATCTTCTCCCCAGTTCCCCCCCTAAATTATTTTGCCCCCCTTTCCCCCGAAGATCTTCATTTCGCTTCACTTTCCTTCACTTCGGTTCATGTCCCTGTATGTCTGTTTATGTTCCTTTTCTTTCATTTCACCTCATGCCATTCATTTCCATGCATGTTCCTTCATTTCCAGATGTTCCTCCACCAGCATGGGCAACATCCCCAGTGTTGAAACCCTCCTGGCCCCGTGCCTAAAAGGGATGCCGTTCTGAGGTCCATGTTCTCTTTGGTTGGAGTGTTCCAATGGATGCCACAATTTGGTTCAAGACTCAAGTAGGGCTTATGGTCTTGCATGGACTTGCATGTACCTGTGTTCGATCCGAGTGAGAGGAAACAGGTGCGATCGCGCTGCTGATCTCGAACGTGTGTGGTTATTGGAGAACACCCTTACAACAGTTTACACTGGTTTGGCTGTATCGGTTTGGCCGTATATCTTTACCACGTGATTGAGTACATACAGCTGGAAGCTTGGTGGACAGCGTGTCACGGGACGTCATCTTGCGCTCTTAACAGGTTATCAGCCGTAACACAAGCTCTACACTGGACAGAGAGACAGCTGGTACAGGAACTACAGAAGAACAATAACCTACACAGCACAATGGAATCTTCAGCGAGCCCAAGTACTGCAACTTTTGGGAACGACAGTTCAGAGGGATCCAATGGATTAATGGCTCTTCCTGCGGTCATGGATATAGTTGCCGATTCACAGGGTGAATCTGGAAGCGGTGGATCCGTGCTATTCAGCGACATATCCACGCCCGCAAGATCGTGGAAACAGGTCGCCAGTCGTCAGGAGTCGAGACAGAGAGATTCTCCGCCGAGGAGATCATCATCTTCACCAGCGACCCCACGGGCGTCGCAGAAGAGCGTGAGGTCGTCATCGAAAGGGGGGAGATCCAAATCGCCCACGAGTGCCGAGTTTCGCGCCATCATCAAGGAGAAGAACAAGATGGAGTCGGAGATCGGGGAATATCAGAAGACACTTGATGAGATGTTGACGGCAATGGCAAATCTTCATCAAGATGACTATGGGAGCACCATCCGGATCCAGGAGCTGGAGAGACGATGCGAGATTGCCAGCAAGCAATCGGGGCATCTTGTGAATCATCACCAACACTATATGGCAGAGGCCTGGCGTAAGTTTGAGGCGGAGGCCCAACCGATGCGCGAGGCGGAAATGAACGCATATCAATACGGGGAAAAGAAGGACATGGAGTCGAACGCTATGATGCAGCAGATGCGACAAGCTGAGGGAATGATCATGGAGCAGAAACGGGAGATTGCAGTGATGAGATCCTACATGGCAAGCGAGAAGACGGCTGCACAGGAATCAGCAATACATGCAAATCAAATTCACCGTGAAGCTTCAAAGCAGATTTCCGCTTTTCAACAGCAGATCAGGGGGATTGAATCGTCGACAGCGATCGAGAAGCTCAACGAGGAGGAGATGGTTCAAAGCCTGAAATCACAGTTGGAACATGCGCTGGTCAAGCGTCCCGAAGTATACTCTATGGAGGACACCAGGGAGCAGTTAATGACAAGACTGAATGACGTGACGGCATTTGCGGAACAAGAGTCGAAGAGAGCAGAGTGCCTCCTTCGAGGGAAGGAAGAGATCGTCAAACAGTATGAACCTGACGTGTCAAAGAAGGACCAGATGATTGCTATAGAGGGTGGTCATCGTCAGGATGCAGTCATCGAGTTGGCCCAGATTAGGGAAGCGACATAAGAAGAACGATGTACGATGGACGAGAAGTCGAAAGAGGCTGAGTTCTGGAAGTCGACAGCTAAAGGGATGTATGATGAGTACCTCGAGGAGATGCGCAAGCTTAATGAACATCTGAAGAATCGGGAGGCGATGCTCAGACAAGAAGAGAGCTTCGTTCGTCAGCTCGATGCGGATAATGAGGAACTCAGAACATTCAAGAGGCTGTACAGGAGGCCTCGAACAAGAAGGATGAACATCGTGAACGAGGAGTAGTGAAGCGCCCTGAGGGAGGACCCCAACTTAATTCGGTTAGGGAGGACAAGAAGATGACCGGGATATTCCCGTCATCATCGCCTAATTCGATCCCTAATTCGTCACTAGTGCCGGGTTCGATTCTCTTTCCGTCTTTTGGTGATCCAATGATCGATGTACACCTATCACAGATGCAAGGGGTCGTCGGGCTAGTCCCACAGCCTACTACAACTAGTGGTGGTGGTAATGGAGGGGGGAACAATGACAATACGCCTCCATTGGATTACAATGGATTCTCGTCCGGCGGGAACCAGCAGGGACCGGGTCATCGTCATTTGAGTCTGACAGGTGGCGGAGGAGGACCTCCGGACGTACCGCCCGATGATGAGGACGAGGATGATGATGATGACGAGGATGAGGAAGACGAGGAAGAAGAAGATGACAATCGGTCACGGAGGGGACGCAGACGATTGAGGGATGATCG